CCGAGGGGCGGGGCCGGGCGGAGCCGCGGGGTCAGAGGTCAGCGCCTCCCCGGTTGCCGAGGCGACCGAGGGCGCCAGGCCGGGTGGTGCCGCGGGAGCTCCCTGCGCTGGGTCCCGGGGCCGTGGGCTCCCCCGGCGCTTTGCGTGGGCTGCTCACTCCTAAGCCGGCGCTGGGCGTCGGAGCCTGCACGGCCGGGCGGGGGCTCTGGAGCGAGCTGGGGGCCGCTCTTGAGAGGGGCCAGTCCAGGCCCGGGCCTGCCGATCTGCGTCCTCGGAAGCGGTGTCTGCTGTAGTCCCGATGCCCGGTGCCTGGCTCGAGCGGGCCTTCCACTGACGGTGGTGGCATGGGTCAGTCCTCGTTACAAAAAGCGCTCTCCCCTGGTCCCTTAGCCACTCTGCTCTTCCCCCCCCATTCCCCCACCCCACCCCACCCCTCAGAGCAAGCCATGGAGGGAAGCAGAGAAAGGCTCCAAAATGAACTCAGGGATGATGAGGACCGCGGAGGCTGTGTCGCTCTGGTCAAGCCATGTCCCCTTTCAGCAGCTTAGCGTCTTCAGGATAGGACACTTTGCTGTATTTGAGGCCCCATCGCTACCCCAGGGCTACTCACCTGGGGGACTGCCCAACTTGGGAAGCCAGGAAGCCACCATCACACAACCTACTTCGCTAAGTGCGACAGACGGTGCCTTACCTGATGCTAAGGGGAGGTCAGCTGGGCACTTAACGCTGTTGGAATGGAAAGGCTTGGGAGAAGAAAATGGGATGTGCAAATAGGCTCTTCGCCCCGTCTCGTCTAATCTAGCAGGGAAAAGTATGGGTCATGGCGGATGAGTTGGGAGCCTTGCTTAATGCCTGCTTCTCCCGTTCAGTACAGAGCTGGCAATAGGCACTTAGCTTCCTGAGACAAGGAGCTTAAATTGGGGGAGCCTCGACTGCCCAGGCCAGAGACTGTGCAGAAAATAGCTATTACAGAATTAGGGAGGGTAATGCATGTACATTTCCTCACATACTGAGGAACAGTTCTAAATTTCCTTTTGTCCTTCTACTTCTCAATTACAAGAAACATGGGTACCCTACCTGCATTGTGTTAAAATGTTCAAATCTTCCCAATGAAGTTCTAAGCCAGTTGGACTTGCTTACAGACCAAGCATCACCCCTTTATTGCGCTGGGCATGCAATAGGCTCTGAAATTAATGAAGGACTTAAAGCCTTTGGTCCCTTTTCAAGACTAATTTTGAGAGTAAAGCAGCTAGAGGTGCATATACTTTTCTAACTTCAAGTAGCCATAAAAATGTAAGGTGTTTATTATATTCAGGCAAGATGTAAACGTTTCCACTTGAGAGGGATATTGAATGTTCTCCGTGTTTTCCGGGTGCCCCTCTGTTTACAGAATATTAGCGGCAGTAATTAAAACTCTAAGAAACAAGGGCCTTTTTGTTAACTACATTTGGAAAGGAGGTATGAGCACCCCTGTATATTTAGGTCAGAAGAGCAAGTGTAAAATGGAAAAACCCGCATAGGTACATTATTTTGCTTTTGTGGCAAGAAGACACCTCTCTGAATCTGTGGGACAGCACCACAAACCTCAACAAACACCCAGATACCAGCACAGTCTTTCAGGAACCCATTGGCACTGGTATCTATAGATTTCCTTTCATTTATTGGAAATCCCAAATTTTGGCATGAGTTCTGAGTGAAGTAGGCACTTCCAAAAGAGACATTATGTTAATTTATCACTAAACTCTTCAGAACACCAAACAATAGATGGATCTTATATGACCATGAGCTAGATACCATGTGGAACGACAAAACCTAGTTTTACTTAAACTGTAAAAAAAAAAGAAAAAAAGAAAAAAATTAAAGCAGTAGAATGCTCCATCTCTAAGAACCAGTCTACAGAAATGTCTCTTGTGAGAAGTAAAAGAAAACCATACTATGTATCTGACATCTGGGTCCCAGAGTGGGCAGTTATGAGCTCTAGAGAAAAATATTCCTAGGAATCTTTTTCTTAAATTCAAAAAGAGGAGGCCAGATATGGTCAGGGAGGATTTGATTCTTAGGAATTTTTAGAGTATATTGGAACAGTGTTGGAATGTCAACCAGACTCTCCAGGGAGAAATAATATGTCACCTGAAACTTATAAAAAGTGGCATCATGGGAAAAAAATCTGTAATTAAGTTTAGAGTTTTTATAGATTGCATTTCGAAAAGTCACTACATCTCTATTAAAGTTTGTAATTAAACAAACAATAGGCAATTAATTATAATAGTGGGTATGTGTTTCTAAAGAACTTAAATTGTTTGGTAATGATTATAAATTAATGATTATAAATTAATGATTATAAATTTGTTTACAAGTATCATTTCACTCATCTCTGAAATATAGCCATCTCAAGGGTGGAAGCAATGTCATCAGTAGTTCATGGCAACATAATAACACAGTTCAGAGAGTTCTCTACAGAGAGTTCTCTGTAGTAACCAAATTTTTTTTCTAGTAACCAAACTTTTTTTCAGTTTCTCAAAACCTGGCTATACCAAAATTATTTAGCTTTACTATCTGGCAAGACTAGACCTTATGATTTAATGTTTACAAGTGAGATAAAGAAAATATCATACATATTTTTGCTCCCATCAAATAAACAAACAGCAACAAAGATGAGCTAAATAAAAAGAATTACATTGTAAAAATCATTTCCTAAAAAGAAATGTTTTTCTTTTTGGACTATTTATAATAAGATGGTGGAAACATGTCAGCTAGATCAAATACATGGTTGAATTATAGTGAAAAAACTGAAAATTGCTTAAGATTTTGAATCAAAGTGCTTCTGCAAAAATGACTTATTGCCTTACAGTTCTTTAATATATATATATATATATATATATATATATATATATACACACACACACACACACATACATAAACAACAGTTTTAAAAGAGAAGGCTTGAATGAAAAGGGCACCCCAGAATTAGAGAATCACCTTTACATTACTATCCTATTACTAGTGACATAGCTGGAGTATATCTTGATGTAAACCATTACAATGCTTACTTCACTAAGTAAGAATTATTTGACAGAGTAAAAATAATCAATATTTGTTGATCAATTGTGGAGGATTTCACCTATGAAATATTTACTAATTACTGCACCTCCTAAAGTACCCCAAGGAGATTGCTCTAACCATAGCGTGAAAGATTTTTTTCTTTCTCAAGGCATCAGCATTTCTAGAAAACTCAACTTACAAATTTACTGTAAGACTGTTACTGCACTCATATACAAATATTACTTTCTAGACAGAGGTGCAGAGCATGAGGATAAGAAATTTAACCAAAATATTATCACACATATATATACTTCAATTATGTATAGAACTCAAATGTATATAAGATTTGTACACAAGACCAAATTCCAGAATTATATTGGAAGGGGGTATGTCAAGTTGATATGAAAGTATCACACAATAAAATAGTACTGTTTAGGGGAGGGTGGGGACTGTTTTTATAACTAGACTGGTAAATTTGTTTCCTGGCATTGGCAGTATATGGACTGTGTGTAATACAGGAGAAGCAACATGGATCCCTATAGTTTAGAAGGCTGTCTTAATTCCAGGTCTGCTTTTTACTAGCTACATTTCTCTAGGGAAGAAATTTTTCTTCTTTGAACCCTGTTTCTTCATCTGTAAAATAAGAGTCTATAATAGGAACCACTAAAACATCCTCTAACATTTAATAATTCTAAGTAGTTATCCATAACACAAAGAGGCAAATTGCACTATAATTATCTAATTGAATTTGGTTAACATATTAAAATAGATTCCCTTTTTATGTAATTTATTAATGAAGGATCCTTTAAGAGAAAAATATCTTCAAGATGTCCTGAGAGCTCGCTCTCTCAATTGAAAATGATCATCCTAGAAAGGAAGTAAATATAACTCCTACTAATGGACTCTGCATGAGGAAATTGACACAGCTCAAGATTAGGAAGAAATTACTTATTAGCAGAGGTGGTTTTGAAAAGCCTTAAACTTTCACTTGTAGTAATAAGGGTAACTCCTGCTCGTATTATTTGTTGTTTTTTCAAACTCCAAAGGCATGTTGAAGAAGATACGAATTTATAAAGCAGAATATGTATTTGCACATAAGAATGTTGTGGTGGATGCATTTTAATTTCTCTTTGGTGGTATCATGCCATTCTATCATGCCATTTTTGTTCCCTCAACAAGTCAACATATGTTCATGCATAGAACCTGAACTGATTAACTGCTTCTTGGTTTTGGGTCAGAGGAGTAAGCTTCATTTGATCTTTTCTCCTTCCAAGAGAACCTTAAATCATTTCCAATGTTTCATTCTCACCAGCAGTTGCTTCAGAGATC